TAGTTGTAGTAGGTGGTACGATTTCGACACACTCACCATACTCGCAAGTATATCCATATGGACATGGATCATCATATTCACCACCACATTCTTGCGGGTCATCGGAAAATACCAATGCAATTAAGCACATTTGAATAAAAACGAACATTATCAGCTAAATTTGATATAAAATTCAAGCAAACAATATTTACCTTCATTTTTGGATTAAATTATTATTAATGAATTATATTAAAGACTGATTTAATTTGACGGAATTTTTGAATACTGTTATCTTCTGTCAGAAAGCATTGGCTTTTATGTGACAGTCAACTGGTTATTTTTTTGTTAAATTCTTATTAGAAGCTACGTGTCACACGTCCGAAAATGTTTCATTTTCATTGTAAATATTTATACGATCAACTTCCCTTCAAAATTAAAGAGGAAGTTTATTTTTAACAATATTTACTTGTTTGCTTTATGACAAATTTTTATACCAAAATTTCATTATTTTGTTTGTTAGTATTGTTTAAATATAAAAACAGTAAAATTTGACGTTTAAGGTTTGTTTGTATGTACGAAAATTAGGTTTTTAGAGGTGATAGATGTGGGTTGAAATTAAAATAAGACCCATTTTTCCTTAAGCTCAAAATGGTCACGAGACGCTTATGCAAGAGAAAACGGGCGCTAGGTTATGGACGCAGTTCCTCTAAATTAAGGAGGAAGTTTATTTTTAAAAATATTACATGTTAGCTTTAAGATAAATAGTCAACATTTTTATCCATTTGTTGATAACGTGAAAAACGTCCGTTAAATGTCATTTAAAGTCCGTTAAGAAATTACAAGACCAAACATTTTTTTGGTGTTACACTTACTTCCTGTGTAACGACTGAGCCTCAATTTCTTCTATTAGTATATATTCTATAAATATTAGTATTTTGAGAGTTTCAAAAATTTTTAATCAAATCTAAATTTTTTATGAATTTTTTTCAAAATTTGGTGTGTTAAGAAATTATAAGACCAAGATTTTAATACGTATTTTCTACGCTATAAGTGTTCCAGAAATTCTGTAAAAATTCCTGTGAACATTTCCATCAATAAGGAGTAGAAAAGCAAAAAGAACGAAGTCTGTAAATGCTTTCTTCGTTGAGATCTCAAAACCCCAAAATCAACGGAAAACGGGGGTACAGTACTTCAAAAAATATTTTGATCCCTTTAGGTGTTGTGTAAAAATTTTTTTCAGGCCCTCCAGAAATTTTTCTCAACATTGTTTGTGAGTATCAAAAAAAATTCCGATATAATTTTTTGTAGAAAGTGGTTATTACTTAGGAGGGAAATGGAGGAGGACTTCTATGAAATGGTGGCCCCTTCCAAAACACTAAAATAGGGCGCAGCCACTTAAAATAGGGCGAAAATAGGGCAAAATTACTCTCCTATTAATTTCAGTATGTCATGAGCTTACAATCAAAAAAGTGAACTGTTAACCAAATAATTTCGATAAAAATCAAAATTTAATAATCAGTATACTTTATGCATTAATTTACTTAACAATTATCTTATTATGCATTTAATTATAATTATAAATCGTTTGTTATTTATCTCACTTCACTTTCATTTAATAATCTCTTTCAATACTCCGGAATACAGACATTATAGTCGCCGCATTTATATTCATCGGGACAATTTCTATACTGATCACAATATATAGGAGTTGTTGGTGGTGGTGTTGTTGTAGTTGGTGGTGTTGTTGGTGGTGTTGGTTGTGGTGTTGGTGTACTTGTTGTTGTAGGCACAAATTGACAGTATTTACCTATGTAGCAAACGTATGGTCGTTGACAACGGTAACAGTTTATCCCGCGATTTCCAAACCAACAACATCGTGCTGAAAAAAAGAATTAATTTAAAGTTAAAGATATTGGCTTGCTTGGTTTGGGTGGTGTTGGCTTTAATGTAGTTGTAGTATAGGAACACAAATTTTATAATCGCACTTATATCCAGATGGACAGCTATAATCGTTCTTACAAGGTGATGGTGCGGGTGTAGTTGTTGGTGGTGGTGTTAAGTAACAATTGGATGGATGAAGACACCAGTAACAGTTTCTAAAGCGATTTCCTCTCCAACATCATTGTCCTGAAAACGAACGTTATTTAAACTTATTAATTTTCGGTTTTGCTTGGTTTAGGCGGAGTTGGCTTCTTTGTGGTAGTCGTAGTAGGTGGTACGACATCAACACACTCATCATCCTCGCATTTATATCCAACTGGACAATTGCCATAGTCATCACAAGGATCCGGCTTAAATAATAATAACTGGATTAAGCACATTTGAATAAAAACCAGCAGTATCAACTAAATTCGTTATCGAATTTAAATTAAAATTAAGAAGGGTTTACCTTCATTTTTGGAGTAGTTATTATTAATGAATTATATTAAAGACTGATTTAATTTGATAGAAATTTCAAGACTGTTATCTTCTGACAGAATTCATAGGCTTTTATACCTATAGTCAACGGGTTATTATTTCCTTAAATGTTTTTCTAGAAAACCAAAAGCTATGTGTCACACGTCTGAAAATTTCTCATTTTCAAAGCTAATTTTTCAACCAAGCTCCCTTCAAAATCAAAGAGGAAGTTTATTTAACAAATATTACATGTTTGCTTTATGTCTCATGTTCACCAACATTTTAATCACTTTGTTAATAACGTGAAAAGTGCCACGTTAAATGTCCATATTCAAATTTTAGACAAAAATGAGAAACGTTTTGACTATTTTATTATCATTTTTTAACAAATAGATTGATTGTTGTGTCCGCACTTGCAGAAAGAACATGAATGAAAATAAATAACCCAACAATGGGTTGGATGGTGGCACAGTCGGTTGTGCTTTCGGTTTGGGCCCTTGCCGTGATGGTTCAATTCCATCTCCCATCCACAATTTTTCCACAGCAGGAACATCGAATACAAAATTGATAAAATGTTTGTAAATATTTTTCATTTAAATTTATCAATATTGTTTGCGGATCATGAGATATTTTGGGAATTTTAGAACATAAATGATTATTTATTTTTCTTGAAGATGACGAATTAGATGACGAATTTTCAGACTAGCCATGTAAGGCCCAGTTTTATCTTACGTGGCCTAGTTAGAAAATACGTCATCTTCAAAAAAACAATTTGAATATACATGGGTGTATATCAGGGATGGGCGAAATCAAAAAATAAAAAGCGAAATGCGAAATGCGAAACTTTTTTTAAAAAAATAAAATGCGAAATGCGGAATGCGAAACTTTTCGCGCCAAAAAATGCGAAAAATGCGAAAGATGCGAAATGCGAAAATGCAAATTATTTAAAATTCAAAAAATTTTATTCATATTCAAAATTATAAATTACGAGATTATGATGCAAAAATAAAAGCATTTCTGCATTTTCTTGAATAAGACGTTTCCTCAGATTGTTTATTATTAATCCTGTACTACTAAACAACCTTTCTGCTTCAGCTGATGTACAAGGTGCTGATAGAAAGCGCGTTGCAATTTTGGATAAAATTGGCCATTTAACTGTATTGTCACCAGTCCAAATCATCTGGTCCAAAATTTGGTAACGTCAAATCACCGGCACTGAGCAAATTTATTGCTTGTTTATTCAAAATAAAGCGGTCGATCATAAGAAAAGTTGATGACCATCGAACCTAATTTCGACGTAAAAACAATAAAATAAAAAAAACCTCAGTATCTTTTGTAAGCGTGAATTATTAAAAGCTACTCTTCCAGAAAGTGAGAAATACTTCCATATTAAAGACATTATAATTTTAAAAAATTTCTTAAAAATAAAAAAAATACTTTAAGAAAAAGCGAAACAAATTTCGCATTTGGACCAAAAAGCGAAATGCGGAATGCGAAACTTTTCGCGCCAAAAAATGCGAAAAATGCGAAAGATGCGAAATGCGAAAATGCGAAATCGCCCATCCCTGGTGTATATTGTAGTCTGCCAAATACTCGAATCCCATGCATCCTCCAAATCCGCTAATATGCCCTAATCCGCCTATATCCACCAAATGCCTGACTATATTAATCTTTCAAAGCATACTCATCAGGGATACGTTAGTCTCGTATCTTGTGTCTCGTATCTTGTAAATCTCGTATTTTTTGAGGATCTCGTATTTTGTGAATCTCATGTCTCGTATTTTTTGCCACTTGCGCCACCCCTGATACATATGTCTTTCATTTTCACTCATAATCCGCAAAAGTAAAAAAAAAATTTTTACAATAAATTAAAAGGAAACTTTATTTGCTCACAAACAATATTGAGAAATTTAAATGAAAAATATTCACAAACATTTTATCACCATGTTTGTTAAGAAATGACAATAAAATCGTCAAAACGTTTCCTATTTTTGTCTAAAATTTGAATATGGACATTTAACGTGGCGTTTTTCACGTTATCAACAAAGTGATTAAAATGTTCGTGAAGATAAGACATAAAGCAAACAAGTAATATTTGTTAAAAATAAACTTCCTCTTTCATTTTTTAGGAGGGTTGTTTGAAAAATTAGTTTTGAAAATGAGAGATTTTCAGACGTTTGACACGTAGCTTTTAGTTTTCTAGAAAAACATTTAAGGAAATAATAATAAGCCTTTAACTGTATATATAAAAGCCCATGAATTCTGTCAAAAGATAACAGTCTTTAAAAATTCTGTCAAATTAAATCAGTATTTAGTATAATTCATTAATAATAATTTACTCCAAAAATGAAGGTAAATACCTTCTACTCAAATTTAAATTCTATATCAAATTTAAGTTGATACTGTTGGTTTTTGTTCAAATGTGCTTAATATCATTGGTATTTTCCGATGAACCGCAAAAATGTGGTGATGGCTATGATGAATGTTCACCTGGATATACGTGTATCAATGAAGTGTGCGTCAAGGTCGTACCAACTACTACGACTACTACAAAGAAGCCAACGCCGCCAAAACCAAGCAAATTAATATCTTTAAATTTAAAATAACATTCATTTTCAGCACGATGTTGTTGGAAAGGAAATCGCTTTAGAAACTGTTACCATTGTCCCTTTCGATTCACATGCTACGCTGGTCAATATTGCGCTATCCCTCCAACAGAACCACCCACACTCGAACCACGCAAGCCTATACCTTTAAATCTAAAATAATTTTCATTTCTTCAGCACAATGTTGTTCTGAGGGAAATATTAATGCCTGTATTGTGTGTTTCCGACCATACATATGTTACGCGGGTAAATGCTATCCACCAACCCGACCACCAACTAAGCCACCGACCACAACACAACCAACTACAACAACGCCACCAACAACATACAAACCCTGTGGTGAGAAAGGAGAGTGTCCTGAAAGATCTAAGTGCCAGTATGATGTCTGTATTCAAGATTATTGAAATAAATTATTAAATGAAAGTGATATGTACTTTATTAAGATAACCGAAAAACGATTTATAATTATAACTAAATACTTTATAAAATAATTGAAAAGTAAATGAATGTATAAAGTATACTGATTATTAGAGTCCGGATTTTATTGAAATAAAATGTTTTTTTTGCAAACACACTATATCGAAAGAAGTCCAAATATGCCATTAGTTTTTCAATATTATGATTTTGAACAAAGTTGTATTTCAATTTATTTCAATATTTTGCCAATTTTCCGGTATTTCAATATTTGGCACTTTTTGTATATTATTTTAATATTTTTGTATATTGTTAACAAAATTTTGTGATTTTTCATTAATTTTTGGAAAAAAGAAAATTAATTTAACCGCTTGACAACAAAATTCTCAAAATTTTCGCCTGCGGCGCTGAAAAAGTGTAATTCTGGCTATTATACACCACTGGCGTTTCTTTCATGCAAATTATCTTCGTCACACTACAATTCTTAGATATTTTAATTAAAAATTTTTCCAGGATCCCACTGAACAAAAACCCCCCATAAAGGCACAACAATGATTTCCAATACCCAAAATATCCGAAAATGTCCCTCCAAAATGCCGCATTAAAAAAATGCCGCATCCAAAATGCCGTCCCATCATTATTTCGACTCATTACTTTTTGTTAAATTTAAACATTTCTTTTATTTTTGATTGTGAATAAAATAAAATGACGCCTTGAAGCAGCACAAAAACAGGTTTGCAAGCAACAAAAACGGTTTTTATTGTTAAATTTCAATTTTTTTTGAGTTTAAGGCACTAAATAAACCATAATTTATTTCAATATTTCACTAATTTTTGGCATTTTTGTCAATATTTTGCCCATTTATTTCAATAATTTATGGCCATATTTTGCGATTTTATTTCAATATAAATCCGGACTCTACTGATTATTAAATTTTGATTTTTATCGAAATTATTTGGTGAGATATTTTGAGGACATTTTGAAATTACATCAAAAGTAATAGTTCCTATACATATTCTCCCCCTCCTTTGTACGAATTGACTTTTTATAATATTGTAAGGAAGACTTAAATGGCGAAATATTAAATTCCTTTACTCTAAAACAACAAAATCATATCCCCTCATATAATTGATCCCGCCTATTTTAATCACTTATAATAAATTGTATCCCCAGCTAGTTAGTTAGTTGAATTTCTATTTTTATTGTTATAAACATAAAATTGTATTTTAAATGTAAAATAAATATTCGAACAGTCTGGTATTTTGTGATTATCTTTATCTCTTTCGGCAACGAAAGAATAGTTGAGTTGATTGATTAGCGATGAGTGCGCTGGCCACGCACGAGCATCCCTATGCCCCAAACACAACAACTTTACTATATGAAGAGTTCATTCTTTAATGAACGCGTGAATCTGATTATAACATAACTGGGAATAAGGAACCATCCGCATTATTTAATTGAATTGAATAATATATTCATATAATAAACAAAACTATTAATTAATCATTAGGACCTAACGGTATTAATTTTTAGATAGAATTTTTATACAACCATTCTTAAAATCGAGAAATTTGGTTATGTTATATAAAATGTAACATAAGTGATAGATTTTTCCAATCCTATATTATTCGAGCGCTCATACTTATGGATGTTTAGAGCTCTCTAATCCCATAAAGATTCGGCTCTATACGCAAATCGTGCCGACTTGAAATTTTTCCCTTGCTTTTTTACTGGGTATTTTTCCCAAGTTTATATGCTTGTGATAGTTGCCATGAGGAAAAACAATTTATAAAAAGGAAAATAAGCCTTTGACTGTATATATAAAGCCGTCGAATACTGTCAGAAGATAACAGTCTTTAAATATAATGTCGTGAAAACGACCTATTGTATTTTTTTCCAATTGTCTTCTTTTTCTTTGAACGTGTTCTATTTTAGTATATTATATATTTAGAACACGCCCTTTTTTCAATAATTTAAAAAATATATACATTTTTTACTTTTAGTCCGCCCTCTTTTTCTATTATTTAAATCAATAGTTTTTTTTCAATTTCTTTAAGTTAGATTTAATTTTAAGATTTTTTAAAATATTTTGTAATATTTTAATTGTTGAATAAAATTGATTTAAAGAAATTGATTTTGAATAGAAAAGAAAAGAGTAAAAAGAGTAGAAAAATTTAAATATTGTTTATTCATTGAATAAACTAAAGAAAACATAAATAAATTTAAAGAAAATAGGAAAATTTGTTTATTTTTTAACATTGTTCAGCAAAAACATTTAAATTGAATTTTAATTTTAATGGTTTTTGCGACATATAATTCATTAATAATAACTGGTACTTATAGGGTTTGGGTCCGCTGGAAAAAAATAATTCTATCTTTTCCTTATTCTTATGAAATGGTCAACTTTCTCCTTCCTCAATCTTATTCATTTTCCCTGTGGCATATTCAAATGATAGACATTAATAAAGAAAAGATTACTGAAATGGCAAAAATGAAAATATTGATCCTAATGTTTGATGATATTGGAGAAAAATTATTTTTCCTTTATTAATGTCTATAATTTGACACAGGGAAATAATGAGAAATTGAGGAAGGAGAAAGTTGACCATTTCATACAAATTAAGGAAAAATAGAATTATTTTTTCCAGCGGACCCAAACCCTATAAGTAACATAATAACTACCCAAAAATTAATAATAACTACGCTTTTTAATATTGAAGGAACTTCGTCCAAAACCAAGCGAACGTTTTCTTTTGCAAAATCGTCTCGCCGATTTCATTAGTTTTACCTATACCATTTTGAGCTTACAAATAAATGGGGGTGATGCGTAAACTGTCTCATTTGACCCTACCTTTTTAAAATTTCAACCCACTTCTTTCACCACTAAGAACCAAACAGATTTACATACAAACACAACCTTAAACGTCATAGTTTACAGCTTATAAATTTAAACAATACAAACAAACAAAGTAATAAAATGTTGGTGAATATAATTTGTCATAAAACAAACATGTAAATAATGTTAAGAATCAAGTTTCTCTTTAAGTTTGAAGGAGGATTGATTGAAAATTTTTACATTGAAAATGAAACATTTTCGAACGTGTGACACGTAGCTTTCATTCTAATAACAAATTAAAGAAATAATAAGCCTTTAACTGTATATATAAAAGCTAATGAATTCTGTCAGAAGATAACAGTCTTTAAAAATTCTGTCAAATTAAGTCAGCCTTAGTAAAACTCTTTAATAATAACTAGCCCAAAGATGAAGGTAAATACTTTCTGCATAAATTTTAATTTACTAACAAATTAGTTGATACTGAGGGTTTGTATTCAAATGTGCTTAATCGCATTGGTATTTTCAGATGCCAAACGACGTAGAAATTTAATTTTGAAAAATTTCCAAAAATTTATTATTTAAAGCCGAACAGCCGCAAAAATGTGGTGATGAGTATGATGATGAATGTCCACCTGGATACATTTGCGATTATAATGAGTACGTCAAGGTCAAACCATCAACTACAACTACTTCAAAGAAGCCAACCCCGCCTAAACCAAGCAAAACAATGCTTAATAATCTAATAACATTCATTTTTCAGCACAATGTTGTTGGCCTAAAAATCAGCATAGTAACTGTTACTTCTGTTTTCTCCCATTCTACTGTTACGAGGGTAAATACTGCTATATCCCTCCAACACGACCACCAACAACAACACCCGAGCCTACACGTTGTGAGAATGATTATGGCTGTCCATCTGGATATAAGTGCGACAACAAAATTTGTGTTCCTATTCCAACGACTACAACATTAAAGCCAACCCTGCCTAAGCCAAGCATGCCAATACCTTTAAATCTAAAATAATTTTCCTTTTTTAGCCCAATGTTGTTGGATAGGAAATCGCGGGACAAGTTGTTACGGATGTGGTACTCTAGTCAAATGTTATAAGGGTCAATACTGTCAAAATGTGCCTACACCAACAACACCATCAACACCAACTACAACAACTCCACCACCAACAACACCTCAACCTTGTGATCAGGATGGAGATTGTCCTGAAGGATCTAAATGCGACTGTAATGTCTGTATTCCGAAATATTGTAAGAAATTGTTAAATGAAAGTGATACGTAAATATATATTGATATAAAAAGGAAACGATTTATAATTATAATTAAATACTTTATAAAATAATTGCTAATTAAATGATTTGATAAATTATACTGATTATTAATTTTGACATTTTCGAAATTTTTTTGGTTGACATTTTCTGTTTTGATTGTAATTTCGGGATATTCTTAGATAACATGAAGAGTAATGGTCCCTATACATATCCCCCCCCCTCCTTCGTGCGATTGACTATTTTATATACTAGGAACATAAAAATCCCTCCAAATCCATCAATATCCACTTAATTCATCGAGTTATCGCCCTTATCCCTTCAAAAGCTTAATCCATATTCTCAATATTGCTAGATATCACCCAAAATCTCTATATATCCATAAAACAAAAACTTTAAATGAAAAATATTCACAAACATATTATCACCTTATTTGTTAATAAATGATAATAAAATAGGCTAAACGTTTCCTACTTTTGTCTAAAATTTGAATATGGACATCTAACGTGGCGTTTTTCACGTTATAAACAAAGTGATAAAAATATAAAGCAAGCATGTCACATGTAGTGTTAAAAATTAACTTCCTCTTTAAATTTGAAGGAGGGTTGGTTGTGAAAAATATTTACTTTGAGAATGAAACATTCTGAATGTTTTCATTCTAATAACATTCTAATAACAAATTTTTCTAATAACAAATTATTCTAATAATAAATTAAAGAAATAATAAGATTTAACTGGTTATATAAAAGCCAGAAATTTAGTCTTAAGATAACAGTCTTTGAAAATTCTGTCAAATTAAATCAGTCTTTAGTATAACTCTTTAATAATAACTACACAAAATGAAGGTAAATACTTTCTACTTAAATTTTAGTTTAATAATAAATTTTAGCTGATACTGTTGGTTTTTATTCAAATGTGGTTAATCGCGTTGGTATTTTCCGATGACCCGCAAAAATGTGGTGATGGCTATGATGAATGTTCACCTGGATATACGTGTGTCAATGAAGTGTGCGTCAAGGTCGTACCAACTACTACGACAACAACAAAGAAGCCAACCCCGCCGAGACCAAGCAAATAAAAATTTCAATATTTAATTAACATTTAGTTTCAGCACGATGTTGCTACGGATGGGATCGCCATACAAACTGTTACTATTGTCCATATCCATACAGATGTTACTTGGGTAAATATTGCCGTATCTTTCCAACATCACAACCAATAACAACACCTGCACCTTCACCTTGTAAGAACAATTATGAATGTCCATCTGGATACAAGTGCGATTATGAAATTTGCGTTCTTGTCCCTACTACTACAAAGAAGCCAACCCCGCCCAAACCAAGCTAAACCGTTATTTGAATATTAAAATAAATTCATTTACAGAAAAATATTGTTGTGGAGGAAATCGCTGGATAAACTGTTACTATTGTCCCTATCCATCCATATGTTACTCGGGTAAATACTGCCGTATCACTCCAACACAACCACCACCGACAACATCCAAACCTATATCTTGTGAAACCTATATCTTGAACCTATATCTGTTATTGGTGTTTTTATCCAACAGTATGTTACTTGGGTAAATGCCGTATCCCTACACCACCAACAGCTCCAACAACAACACCCAAGCCTACAACTTGTAAGAAAGATTATGACTGTCCATCTGGATATAAGTGCGATTATAAAATTTGCGTTCCTATCCCTACGTTTACATTAGAGCCAACACCACCCAAACCACGCAAGCCAATACCTTTAAATTTAAAATAATTTTCCTCTTTTCAGTACCATGTTGTTGGAGCGGAAATTTTCAAGGGAAATGTTACGAATGTTTCCTACCATTCACATGCTACCGGGGTCAATACTGTCTGCCTCCACCACCAACGCCTCCACCACCAACGACTACAACAACGCCACCAACAACAACATGCAAGCCTTGTGGTGTGTATTCCGGAATATTAAAAAATTTATTAAATGGAATGATATGTAAATATATTGAAATAAATAACAAACGATTTATAATTAAATACTTTATAATATAATTGCTTAAATAAACGGTAGATAAATTATAATGATTATTAAATTTTGATTTATTCGAAATTTTTTTTGGTTCAATTTTCACTGTTTTGATTGTAAGTTATGGATATACTGAAATTAGATGAAGTGTCCATACCATCACAGATTGCGGGAAAAGGTCAGTAAATTGCGGGAAAAGGTCTCGACAGTAAATAACACTCGGTTTAGCCGACCAGCTGCGACCAAGCGCTTTATGAGAGGCATTTTTGGAGTCTTGAGTGTTTCCTGCGATCATCAAGGACATGAGCCTTATTTAGCTTCTGAGTTGTGATAGCTTTCGCACGGATTGCTCAGGATTTCTACGAATCCGCATCTAACTTTGTTAATGTTTGTTTGGTGTAACCGCAGTAGCCGGCGCCCACTCCGAGGGTTTCTAGAAAACTCAAATTTAACTCAAATAGAAACAGAAAAAACTCTTAGAAGACTTAAATCAAACTCTTTAAGTTCTAAGTTAAACTCTTTATCTAAAATAAAACAATAAAACAAATCTAAAAGTTACACAACTTTTATTCAAACAAATTCTATTACACTTAGAAAAGCTCTCGAGAGAATCTTTACTCAACGATAACTCTTAAATCTGAGAGAATCTAAAAAACTCTTTACTCTGAGAATTTACAAAATAAACTCTGATTATACCCTAAAATCCTACGTTAAAATAGAGGAAAAAAATGGGAAGATTGTTTCCAAAAATATAAAAAAATATACAAAGTGCAATGAATAAGAGAAAGAATTTGAAAGAAGTAGGCGTATTTGATTACGCATGATTAAAAATTTAATTTTAAAAATAAAAATATTTTTAACAAAAATGACAAGGGACAAAAGGGTCAAAAAATAAAATAAAAAAGTCACATTTCGCGACACCTAACAATCCATTAAATAATAATTAACAATTCAATTCAATTCAATTTATACGTATAAAACGTGACACAAAAAATATGAAAAATATTCACAAGCATATTATCACCTTATTTGTTAATAAATGTAATAAAATCGTTAAAACGTTACCTATTTTTGTAAATAATTTGAATATTGACATTTAACGTGGCGCCTTTCAGTGATTAAAATGGAGGGGAAGATAAGTCGTAAAGCAAACATTATGTATTGTTAGAAATAAACTTCCTTTTTAATTTTGAAGGATAGTTGATTGTGAAAAATATATACAATGAAAATTAAACATTTTCAGACGTGTGACACGTAGCTTCTAATAAGAATTTAATAAAAAAAATAACCCGTTGACTGTCTACATAAAAGCCAGTGCTTTTTGACAGAAGATAACAGTCTTTAAAAATTCTGTCAAATTAAATCAGTCTCTAGTATAACTTTTTAATAATAACTAGTCCAAAAATGAAGGTGAATACTTCCTACTTAAATTATAATTTTATATCAAATTTAGCTGATACTGTTCGTTTTTGTTCAAATGTTCTTAATCACGTTGGTATTTTGCGATGACCCGCAAAAATGTGATGATGAATATGAGAAATGTCCACCTGGATATAAGTGGGTAATATTCAATTTCGTTCCCCCCCTTTTTTTTCCTTCCTCAAAGTATTACAAAATGGTCAGTCAATCTTAAGTTATAGAGCTCGTCGAGCTGTGTCGAATGACACCAAAATCGAAAAAATCGGACCTGATTTGACCGAAATACAGACCCCTGAAAATTGAACAACCATAGGGGCGAAAAGCCATAAGGACGTAAATTTTTACAAATAATAGCTCATTCGAAAGAGCTCGTCGAGTTGAGTCGAATGACACCGAAATCAACGTGATTGGACAAGATTTTACAAAATTATGACATAAGTCACCGACTCCGTTAGGTCTAATTCAGGTCATAACTTTGTCAAACCATGTCTAACCGCGTTGATTTATATGTTCTTCGACTCAACTCGAAGAGCTCTTTCGAATGTGCTGTCATTTGGATAAAATTTTTTTAGTCCAAAAAATTGCCCCTATGGTTGTTCAATTTTCAGGGGTCTGTATCTCGGTCAAATCAGGTCCGATTTTTTCGATTTTGGTGTCATTCGACACAGCTCGACGAGTTCTATAACTTAAGATTGACTGACCATTTTGTAATACTTTGAGGAAGGAAAAAAGGAGGGGGGAACGAAATTGAATATTACCTATAAGTGCGATTATGATGAGTGTGTCAAGGTCGTACCACATACTACGACTACTACAAAGAAGCCAACCTCGTCCAAACCAAGCAAAATCGAAAATTAATAAGTTTAAATAACAAACATATTCAGAACAATGTTGTTGGTCTGGAAATCGCGGGATAAACTGTTACGAGTGTAAACCATCATTATCATGCTACAAAGGTATTTATTGTGAATATGTGCCTCCAACACGACCGCCAACAACAACACTCAAGCCTACACCTTGTAAGAATAATTCTGACAAGGAGCCATCGTTTACTGTGACTGCGAATTTGATAGATTTTTTGGTACCATTCGATAGAGGACCTTCGACTTAGTATTGTGGCGTTATCCGTTTTCTTGCAAAATTAGTTTGGGCCGAGTTATGGCCGTTCAAAGTTAGACCGCTAGAGTCTGAAGTTATAGAGTAAATAAACAATTTCTCTCTTATTTTTCATCCTCAAAGAACCAAGCCACGCCCCTTCTCTTTGTTTATTTTGTCTTACATTTTTCTCCCTTCTTTTCTTCCT